GAGAGAGAGGGACTGGCCCAAAGTCACCCATCCGGCTTCCATGCCTAAGGCAGGACAAGGACTCAGGTTTCCCTGCTTCTAATCCAGCGCCTGAAGCACAACACTAAGCTGTCTCTTTTTGTGTGCGTTTGTGTACGTGCCTTCAAGTCAGTCTTCACTCCTGGCAACTGCCTGGACAAGTCCCTGCAATTTCCTTGGCAAGGTTTTTTGGAAGTGGTTGGCCCTGGCCTTTTCCTTCCTAGGGCTGAGAAAGTGGGACTGCCCCAAAGTCCCCCAGATGGCTTCACGCCTAAGGCAGAACTAGAATTCATGGTCTCCTGGTTTCTAGCCCAATGCCTTTAACCACTGCACCAAATTAGTTCTCTGAACAGTTCTTCTTCTTAGGAAATTCTTCCTGATACCCCACCAACATCTACATTCTTTATATGGGGTCTGCAATCTTAGTTTGATTTCACAGAAAAAGGTGTAGCTCCAGTGACAAAAGACTTGCAATATTTTCCTTCTAAAGTCCACCTGTGCAGACTGCACAAGCATGCCTGTCTTCTGAGAAAGGATGGGAAATTGAGTTAATTATTGAACATTTCAACACTGATTGAAAATGGAACCTCATCAACAGGATAAGTTCAGATTGCCTTGTCAAAACTGACCAATAAGCCAATCAGTTTTTTTTTTAAGTCAGTTATTAGCTGTACAAAGGATTACACTACTTTCATCTGTCCTCCACCCTCATTTTTATTGATTTAAAAAAAACAACCCAACTTTAGTGACTTCAGCGTTTCCCAAATGTTCTACCTTTATGCCCATCCAATAATAATAGCCATTTGGGCCTGACGATCTGCAGTTGTTCCGTTTCTCCAGAAGATGTCTCCTCCTTCCGCCCCACTTCCAAGTGGGAATTGTAACTTCCCCCTCCCCACCTAAACTCCCCTTTGCACACTCAGCTTTTCCCCTGCTCCACCCCCTCATCTATTTCAAGCTAGCCCAGAAGCCCAGCTGCTCCTGCTCAATCTCCCTGGCTCCCTGCAACCCCGCCAGCCTCTTCCAGTCTTTTCTCACCTTCTAGCCCTGAGACCTTCCAACATGACTTGTCCCATCTTTTTGGATGGAGAAAATTGTAAGCCTTCTTGGAAGGAAGCCAATGCGGGTTTCGACCCAGAAGACACTCGCCTGGAAATCCTGGGGAAGCCGGTGATGGAGCGCTGGGAAGCCCCCTACATGCACGGCCTGGCCACTGTGGCTGCCTCCCAAGGTAGGATCAACTCTGTGACACGTCCTGCAGCCTCCACGTCCAGGCTGTTGCTATCCGCTCCAGTCTTCCAGCCGTAATTCAGAATCTGCCTTAAAGACGTTAAGTCTCTTCCTCTCCCTGTCTCTTTTCCCAGTTCCTCTTTAAAGGCACCTTGTGGCAGTGAGTTCCACAAATGCATTGTCCTCAGGGAACGCACAGAGCCAGGAGAGTTTGCACGTGCCTTTTGCTTCTTGCAGCCCTACAGCATCTTGTAAAGATGCATTGACACCCAAGCTGGTGTTTGGCATTGGTCATGTAGGCTGAGATGGTTTGGTTTTCCAAGAGAACCCTCTTTTTATATATATTTTAATTGATTAGAACTGCTTTGATCCCCTTCAAGAAAATTGGGGTACCCTTTGTTCAATTTTTTCTGTCCTTGTTAAGACAGAATTCCAGTGCCTGCTTACTGGAGAGGAAACATCCCTGACCCGTGTTTGCTTGCAGGTTAAGACATTTCCTAGAAAGAATCAGCCATTTTTCACAGACTCAGGATTACAGATCCAGAGAGCTGAAAATGGAAAATCAGCACCTCGGAGATAACTTTTACTGAAACTTTTTGACAAATTGTCCGTTCGGTTGGTTTGTTTCCCCAGGAGGGGAATTTATTCCAGGGTAAGAATAAAATAGAAGGTCCAGCAAGGGAAAAAATAAATCTGTAAAACTCTTCTTCCTATTTATTTTGGTGAGAGGGTTTGGAGGAAACGGTGCGCTGTTTGTCTGTATGTGTTCCCTTTGCAATCGTAAACTTTTCGACTCGAAAGTAAGCCCCCTAAATTCAGGGGGGCATATTTCCAGATTAGATTACTGCCTTAGTCTACTTTGCTTGATGGGCTTTTATTCTTGGTATGCTTTTTGGTAAAGACAGTGCCTGGGAGAATGATGGTCTCCCTTCCTCTGGATGCTTTCAAGCAGAGGCTAGACGCACATCTCTTTGGCATCAGGGCTGTCTGTGGGGAGTCCAAAACGTCGAGACGGTGGTGGCTGGGACCATGCCATCAGAGGGGCGGGGCTTTGGTCACATGGTCACAGCCACCACCATCTTGACTTTTTTGACACCCCTGCAGATGCCCCAAGCTGGGATGGTTTAATTTGGACTCCTGTACGTAGAATGTGATGGTCTAAAGGGAGCCTTTATCAAATACAGGATTTTTCCCTTCCCTCAAGGGAAAATTGGATATCTGGCTACAGCAGCGTTTCTCAACCTTGGCACCTTAAAATGTGTGGACTTCAACCGCACGCACCCACACATCCACCTTGCAGGTTTTGATGTACACCCCCACAGACATTTCTGCACCTGTGGCTGGAACAATATTGTGTTGAAGAAGGTGAAAGCCTGTTCCCTCTTGATCCAGAGCGAAAGACATGGAAGGAAGTTCCATTCCAATGAAATCTTATCAAAACAATCCTAATCAATACAGATCATCCTCATTTAGCGACCCTAATTGGGACCGGCAGCTAGGTCGTTAAGCGAAGCGGACACTTAGTGAAACCACAACTGTGCTTATGATCTTCCTTCGGCTTTCCTTTGCTTTACAGACCTGCGAAACTTGTAAATGTGAGGATTGGTCGCAAAGTTACTTTTTCATCACCATCGTAAGTGCAAATGGTCACTAAACGAGGCAGTCACTAAATGAGGACTACCTGTAAGAGCAGTTTAACCAATGTCCCAGAGAAGTAGTGGCCCCCTCTTTCTCAAATAGAACCAAGTGGAGGCTGGACAGCCATCTTTCAGGGTTACTTTAATCTGGGGGCTGGACTTGCTGGCCTCAGGATTCTCTTCCAATTCTAGGATACCACATAGTTTGAATGCATAGCTTTGTTCATCCTATTATATGTCTCTCTGGCAGACTGGTGAGCTTAACCATTCACAGGGAGTCCCCGAGTTAAGAACGTCCGACTTACGGACAACTTGTACTTACGAACGGGCTCCCTATTACTAAAAATGGCAGACGAGGTTCTCCTTCCTGGAGCCGCTGAACCGCTGAACCCGTGCAATGTTTTCATGAACTGCTGAAACTAGGCTGTATATTAAAAACACGTGGCTGGGGAATTCTGGGAGTTGAAGACCACACATCTTAAAGTGGCCAGGATTGAGAAACCCTGGTCTAGCTAGACATGGAGCAAGTTGTGTTGTCAGCTAAAATTACAGGTCTGTTTTTCTTTGAGTCTGTGAGATAAAATCATTTGTCTCTTGCTGAGAAGGAAGATTTCCTGGTACTCTTCCTCCCCGATCAAAGCTCCAGGGAGTTGGAGCTCAGGGACGGCTGCATTTTCATCATATGCTCAACCCCATGGTTTACAAACTAGGTCAGCGCTGTTCATACAACACCCCAAGCCACCAAGGAACAAACTGCATTTTCACATAGCATTTGTTCACATGACACCCTTACCCAGGTCACTGAATGAACACAACTTCTGGGTTTGCACAACTGATTGATTTATTCATTGGCCAACTTTCTAGGCCGCCCAACTCCAGGATGACTCTGGACTGCATCACAAGATTGAAAGATACTGATACTTATATCTGTTGTAAAAGAAAGTCGAAATCATTTTTCTTTTGTATTTTTTTTCTTTCTTTTTCTGTACTTTTGACTCTGTTTTCTTTTTCATTCTTTACTTTTTTCTCTTCTCTACTTCCTATCTTCATTATTAGTTCTTGTCAGTTTTTATCCCTTTACCTTAAAAATGTAATAGTTATTTGAAAAAAAACAAAATTGAAAAGCAACAAGATTATATATAAAACTAACAGACAACTTTATATAAAACAATATCCTGAACTATAAGTTAACCCCAAAAGGCTGGATTCAGGCAGCACGCTAAGCCACAAGAAAATGCCACAATTAAATTAACACTAAGCCAGCTTACCATGTTGTCTGAATAGTCATTAAGGTGTGTGAACCCAGCCTATGTCTGGGGCTGTATTCCCACTCTGCTACAACTGAACCATAGTTCATTGAATAAACTACCATTGATTGAGCAAACGACGGCTTGCAAGCTGCCATATTTGCCTTCATGCAAGAGGCAGAAGCAAATCCCAAACAAAGCGTGGCGAGTGAATCCAGCTTACCTGCAGGGAAACCCTACATGTCCAATTAAAAATCGCTAAGAGGAAGTTCCCAAGAGGTCTGTTCAGTTTCAGAGAGAATAATTAATAGCTGTGCCCCACTGATAAACATGCAACCCTGGAGCCCATTTCAGTTGCGTAACCCCGAGGCCAGCGCTGACTATGTGGTAGCTGATGTTGAAGTGAGTGAGGTGTCCCCCCCGCCCCAAATACATTGAGGTGAATTGGGCTGACAGAATGGATGAGAATCGGATGTGTGAAAGCAGAGTGTCAGAGTTTGACGGGGTTCATTTTTCAGCTGGGGGGGAATTGATTTGCAAAGATGGCAAAGGGCACAGAAACACTTAACAGTGGAGGCTTTTCATGCTGTTTACTATGTACAGATCTTTACGGCAGGTGTTTACCACAGGGCCAAACAACACAGTCCTGGTGCCAGGTTTCCCCCCAGGTCTCCCCCCAGCGACTTTTCCCTTCTGTCTCTCCTGCTTCCTCCCCCTTTCTCTCTGTCTCCCTCCCGTTTCAGTGCTTGGCACAAGAGAGAATAGGAAAGAAAGGAATGGACTGGACTGGACTTTGCGTAGTGTGCTCAGCGTCACTTGACTTTTTCCCAGCTCAGCTGGACACCTTCCGCTTCTGTGCTGGGGGAAGAACCTCTCTCAGGGTCTTCTGGCCAGTTCCCCCCCCCCAAACCAGGGCTTCTCTACCAGCAGTCAATTGCATCTGTCCCTTCCAGGGTCTGGGGTGAAGCCACCACCTGCAACCAGCCGGATCCCTCCTCGCCCTCAGGGTCTGGGGTCTTGGGTGGAGCTTGTCCCTCTGTGTAATAAAATGTGGGAAAGACCCTGGGAAACGGGGTGAAGAGATGCTGCTGAGGAAATGGTCAGATAAGAGGCAGCATAGCCCACAGCTGATAGTGGGCGAGGCAAGAGGCTCAAAAGGGACCCTCCCTAGTTTCTCAGGCTGCAAAGGAGACAGAGTGGGGGCAGGGGGGAGGATTGTACTTTCACACTTGCAAGATTCTGTTAATGGGACCTTACACTAAAATAGAATTAGCTCTTCTGGTCGTGTTTCCTGTCTGGTCTACCTGGTAAGGCTGACACAAAGGCAACTGCCCTCTTCACTTTCCTAATCCCCACTCTGCACACGGTTTGCAAGAATAGAACAATATGGAGACATATAGAGTCCCTTTGATTGACCTATATATCTTTTTTGCTTTGTCTTAGCTCGTGCCTCTACTGTAATTTCTTGGACTTGCTACGTCTTACTCCTTTTCTGCACTTTACGTCGCATCGCTTACTCCGATAGAGAATAGCGTGATGGGTAGGGACGTAGATATGTTCTTGTGCTGTTTCTGCTCCTGATCGAATATGTTCCCCCATCACCACCATCAACCCGCATGCATCGATGCGCACACCCATCAGTCATGTTCCTGGCTGGAGCAACACTGAGAAGCTTCTGTTTTCCGTGATCTGCATTGCAGCTGAGATAAGAATAGCTCTGTGGCGAAAGGTCTCTTTGGAAAGGCTTGGGGAGGGGTGGCTTCAGGGGTCTCGCCCTTTTCGGACAGCTGCAGGCTGAGGCCCCAGATAAGGGCAGCTCCACTGAGCAAAGGCAAAGGTCTCTTCCAGCATCCAACACACCAGCTTTCTGCAAAATAGTGACGTGGGCCAAGCATGCATAGTAGCTAGAGAAGGCAACAGTTCCAGAAGGCTTCCAGAAAATTGTGTGTGTGTGTGTGTGTGTGTGTGTGTGTGTGTGAGGGAATGGAGTAACATAGAAAAGAGTATGGCCGATGGGTCAGAATTTTGGACAGGAGTGCTCCTGTTGAGTTCTTGGCAGCTTCTTCTGCAGAAAGCAAGGAAGTAGGAGTTTCCTTTAGCCAGATTTATTGCAGAAGGGTAGGACGTCTCAGCAACTGGATTGCCTTCACGTTAGAATCCAATTTTTCTCCCAGGTTGCTAAGGCGAGACTTTTTCACAGCCGCTGTGTGGACTGGGGAAGAGGCTGATAAGTGAGGAACGTCAAGGGGTCATTGTCCAGCTTGTCCTATGTGGCTCTAGGCCAGTGTTTCTCAACCTTAGCAACTTTAAGATGAGTGGACTTCAACTCTCAGAATTCTGAGAATTCATGCTGGCTGGGGAATTCTGGGAAATGAAGCTCACTCATCTTAAAGTTGTCAAGGTTGAGAAACACTGCTCTAGGCTCTGAAGGTAGGAGAAAGACTACTTGATGTTAGACTCAGCTCCTGGGGGCCTGGTGGACACACCTGTGCACTTTTCTTGGAAACAGTGCAAAAGTGATTTGCACATCCACCCATTTCCTGGATATTTTTTTGATTTCCCACTCTGTATGCAAACCATATTTAACCCTGTTTTGTTTTTGTTTTTAAGTAATCTGCCAAGGCTATCTAGGTGCTGCTAACTAAGCTTAGTAAAGTCTCCTCCAAGCTGAAGTCAACGTCTGGTCACTTCATGGTCATGTCCATGTCCACCTACGTTTTCTTGGCAAAACAGGCAAATAATTTGTCACTTCCTCTTTCGGTTTGTTCCAGTCTAGGCTGCAGTCCTGTGGTTCCTCTCCAAGAATTAACCTGATCTGACATTCCTTAGTTTTTCTGAGATCAGTCAATGGGTCAGTCTTTCAAGGGAAGCTAGGACAGAAAACAGACTTCTCAAAAAAGACAGGAATTCTGCTTTATTGATAGAGGCTCTAGGAACCAAAGCCTGACTGAATTTTCACCTTTCCTTCTTATGCCAAAGAGAGTCAAGGCAGGGCAATCTTGAGTTTCTTTCTAACACGTTCTTCATTTCCTGGATTAAATGAAGTTTTTGTAACCAACTCAGCATAATTTCTCCAAGGCCATCTCTGTGGCTCTCACGCCATTTCAGCTAACCAGATCTTCCTTTCAGGAGGCCGGGTGCTGGAGGTTGGCTTTGGCATGGCCATTGCTGCCAGTAAAATTGAAGAGCTTGACATCGAGGAGCACTGGATCATCGAGTGCAACGAGGGAGTCTTCCAGAGGCTGCAGGAATGGGCGGAAAGGCAGCCTCACAAGGTTGGGGCAAAGGGGCCTGGCGGGTGAGGGCACAAATGCCCAGGAGGGAAGCAATCACATCCCATGTGCTATGACGTCATTGGGCAAATCATGCGGACAACATCATGTGCATCATTTTTAGGGTTCCAGCATGACACACGATGGGGAAGGGGGAGCAGCAGGCCCACGAGCAATGAATGGGGATGGGAAGTGATGTAACCAGTTCCATAAAGTGGTTCGAAACTGGGCAGTGTGAACAGACGGAGGCTGTATTGGTCTGCGGAAGTGACCTTGGGAGACCGGAGGGAGAGCCGCGGACTAGGGAATCGGCGTATAAAAGGTGTCTCAGCTCACAGAAGGAAAAGGGGGGTGGGAAGCGTCTCAGAAGGGACCCTCCCGAGTTTTCTGGATAGTAAAAGGAGAGGAGGGGAGAGATGTACTTTCAGTCTTGCAAGATCTGTTAATGGAACCTTACAGTAAAGGTAGAGCTAGGACTCCTGGTTGTGCTTCTGGTCTGGAGTACCTCGCAGGGTTAACAGAGGGTGACTTCCAGGGCCCCCCAAAATTGGGCAAATAAGAGGGGAACCTCCACCCCATCTTTTAAAAATATTTCAACTGTCTTTGGAAGGAGTTGTGTTTGTGCCTGGGAGGGACCCACCTCTGAGGCTGGATTGCTGAGAGCCATGATGGCAAGGCTGTATTTTCTGTGTTTTTTTTCCTCGCTTACTTGCATTGCAAACATTTTTTTTTCCTTTTTACAAAGTTACTTTGACCTACAAGGTGGGTATGTTTTCCTCCTCTTAGTTAATTTATTAATTAGATCTGTATAACCACCCTTGCTTTGTGCAATGCAAGGCAGCATACCTAATGCTCCCTCCTCCTATTTTGCTCACAACAACAACCCTGTGAGGTGGGTTAGGCGGAGGTAGAAGCATTGGCCCAAAGTCACCCAGTTGGCTTCCACGCCCAAGGGAGGACCAGCACCCAGTCACTGGGACAGAAGAGACCCCTAAAGTTGAAAAAAAGTGAGTTGGCAGCCTCGTGGGGTGGGGGAATTCCGTGTGCCCATCCCTGATTTACGCACATAAGTCCTTTTGCCCTATTAATCTTGATTTTTCAATGGGTTGCAATGCTAGTCTTCAGGTTTCATGTGTGCACACTGCTGAGGTGCCTTGGTACAGTTTCCCCCAACCTGGTACTTCCAGGTATTGTGGCGTCCTTGGGGTTCTCTGAGCTTGGTTCTTTTCTTGCAAACGTTTCATTGCCTGGCTAGGCAACATCTTCCGTGCTAAAATGGGCTGGAGTTTGCTCTCTATTTATGTGCTGTGGCCTGCCTTGCCAGTGCTGGTGAGGGAGGGGTTTTTGTTTTGCTCCTCTGGTACTTCTTTGATTGGCATATGTTGACTGCTTGATTGTGTGCCTGGTGGTGACCTTTGCTTATCTGGGTGCTGATTGCTGGTGATTGATTGGTGGTGATTGATTGCTGGTGAC